GACTGTCATCTTTATTCATCACTGCTGGTTTACTTTAATCTCTATCATGTGTAATATTGAAGAAATCTACATATCACTATCACTACAATAGATTTTATATTATAAACTAGGTGCTTGAGTTGCTTAAAGGAAGTTAGAGATAAGTGTACTATACCTGATATTGTAGTATGCAGTACAAGGACCTCATGTTATGATTAGGCTTCATGGTTGCAATAGCAATCCAAGGACATCATGTTGTGATTAGGCCCTATGTCTGCCACAGGCAATGCAAGAATATCATGTTTGGAGATTGAGCCTTCCCATAAAAAAAGGCAAAATTTTTTAAGATTCTGTTCAGATTTTTATTACAAAAAATGCTCATTTTTTAAAATAATAATCCAAACAAAATCTGAATAGAATTTTAACTTTTTTTTTATTATAGATCCAAAGATATAATAGCAGTACAAGGACTCATGTTGTGATTAGGCTCTATGGCTACAAGAATCTTATATTGTGATTAGGGTTTATGGCTGTCGTAGGCAGTGCAAGAGCCTTATGTTATGATCAGGGTCTAAGGCTGTCGCAGGTAGTGCAAGAGCCTTATGTTGTGATCAGGGTCTATGGCTATTGCAGGTAGTGCAAGAGCCTCATGTTTGATGATTAAACACCTTAGCTATAATAGCAGTGCAAGAAACTATGTTGTGATTAGGCTCCATGGATATGAATAACAATGCAAGGATTTCATATTGTGGTTAGGCTATGGCTTATGTTTGGCAATTAACTCTGCAATTATAATAATAGTACAAGAACCTTATATTGTAATTAGGCTCTATGGGTGTGATAATATACAGAAAAATTGATGAAATACAAGGTGAAAATATCAGATATAATATTTTTTGATATAAATCAGATTTTTGGTGCAAATAGTAGCAATAATTAACTATTGAGTATCAGAAATTTATGCTTTGGTGATTACTAAGTTCCATAATAGTATTTCTTACAATAATATATAATGTAAACTAACTTAACATTAACTATATACTGTGTATCTCAAGAATGTCAAGTTTTATAACAGAATTTTTTTACAGTAACTCACAATAGAAATCATGATTGTTTCGATGCAAACTTAATATTATGTGTTAATAAAATATCAAGTTCTATATATAACAGTATTTTTTACAGTAGTAAATAATAGAAATCATGCTAATTCTAATACAAACTAACATTTCCTTAACAACATAATATGTGTCACCAGAATAGTGGTAAGTTCTGTAATAATTTATTATATTAACACATAATAGAAAACATGATTTTTACAATGAAACTATGATAATTTCAATTTATACTATGATAAGTAGATGATATCTCATTTAGCTTCTTATCCACATTAGCCTATATAATTATTATCTGCCAAGAACATTCTAAATTATGCAGATTATTATGAATATATTTATATAGTATAGAGTGTTAAATACGCCTATTTGTAATATTTGTTTTGGCACTATGTAATATTAAGATTAGCATTAAAAAATTTTAATAGATTGTTATAATAGGTTTTCAAAGAGGTATTTTACACTTTATACTATATATATTATTTGTTTAAATTGTGGTATTTCGTATCAATATATTTATACTGTATTTAGTTTTATACTCAATATTTATTTATCTAAATTCAAAAATATAACTCATATAACTATTCTGTATTAAAGTTGTCTACTATTTTTAATGAAGCTAATATTCATCTGTTCTTGGTTTTGTGCAAAATATCACGTAGCTACTTAATTATTAACTATACTCTTTAAAAGCCTCTTGCAATGCAATTTTCTATCCTATTTTTGTAATTCCTACTAATTCAAGTTGTTGATCAGTTAATTTATATATCCGATTAACTTGAATAGCATAATCTTGAAATTTTCGTAAATATGCTAAAATTTTACCATTCACATTTTTAGCTTCATCTATCTTTGTTAAAAATTCCTCAAGTTTAGGTACAGGTTTTAAAGAAGTTGTTGATAATTTATGTGATATTGAATTATTTATTAAAGGTTGTAAATTAGGAAAAATTGAAAATAGCATAAAATAGGATTGTGGAGAGATATTAGATAATAATTGAGAAGATATTGTATAGAAAGAGATATTTGGTAATATTTGTAAAGGAAGATTTGGTGATATTTGTAAAGAAATATTAGCTGATGCTTGTAAAGGAATATTAGATAAATGCGAAAAAAAATTATTTAATAGCTGTGCTGAAAAATTATTTGATATTTGTAGTAAAAAATTAGTTGGTAGCTGTGATGATATGTGTGATGGTATTTGTGAAAGTATTTGTGGTGATATTTGTAAAGATCCATGTGAAGGTACTTGCAAAGGTGTTTGTGATGATATTTGTAAAGGTATTTGTGAAGATACTTGTAAAGGTATTTGTAAAAGTATTTGTAAAAGTAGTTGTGATAATGGTTGTAATAGTGATTATAATAATAGTTGTGATGAAGAATTAGATAATAATTATGAACAATTAGATAATAATTAATTAGAATTAAATATTCCTTTTGCTTTAGGTAGAGAAGTAAATATTGCATGACTTGGTGGCATATTAATATCTGTTAATTCATTCATCTATTTATAATATAGTAATTTATTTTAATATATTATTTTATAAATAAATAAATATAAAAAATAATAATTCTTACAATAGCCCAAGCCCATGTTGTATAATGTATTCCTGATAATTTAATATGCCCAGTTTTAGTAACCCAACAAGAACTTTCACAATTAGCACAAAAATATTTTTCTTGAATTTGAAATATAATAGATGCTTATCATTATCAAGCTAAGATTCTTTAGGTTTTTTACTAAATAATCATAGTTTTTTTTATTTAAGTTATCATCATCACTATTTGGTTCTTCAGATTTCTAAAATAATAAAATAATTAATAAATTAAAAAAATAAATACTTTAAAAAAAATAATAAAATAATATACCAATTTAAGTAATTATTTTTTCTCACTACTTTTTGATAAATTATTTCGTATTTGAATATTAATAAATACTTCTTTTTTTTTATTTGTAGCTTGATTATAATCCTCGATAAAACTTTTAAAATCATTTTTATTAATAATTTGAGTTTTTGCTTTAGTTTCTTTTGTTATTTTATATGCTAATACATAATCATTTTGAATAATAGTAGTATTATTTAATTGTAATTAAATATTTGAAAGAATCTGACTATGAAATTCATTACAAGAATTAGCTAAAATATTTAACTGTTTAGCAGGTAATGTAGTATTATTCTCATCTTTAATATATAGTTTAAGTAAAAATTTATTACTTTCATACTTATCATTTTTATTATCTAACTTGTTTAACCGTCTATCTAAGCTATAAGTATTATTTTCTAAATCTGATTCTTTGAGATTCTTATATAAAAGACTCTCTATTTTATTATATGCTGGTGTATTGGCATCAAAAGTAGTATGCTTATCAATAAGTTTGTCAGTATCAAAAGTTGTATGATAATCAAGAAAATTGTTATTTTCAGATATGTTGGTAATATGTTTATTTGTATTGAATGTTGTATGTTTAGTAGGACTAATAGGTTTAACAGAATTTGATTTTATTGATTTAGCTTTACTTATACGATACTATTTGCTATTGCATATAGAGCAAAATAAAAATTTAAAATCTTTTATAAACTCTATATTATGATTATATATTTCTTTTGAATTTTCTAAAGCTTCAATTTGGTTGTTATTAAATTTTTCATTATAGTAAATTGTAAAAGCATAAGAAACTGTTTTTGTATGATTTCGTGTTGTAGGTAATATAGTTTTATTACATTCACATAAAAATTTTGA